TTGTTTACCTGCCTGCCTACCTCGCCAGCTAGCTCACTTTTGCTCGCCTCCGCCTCTGCCTCTCCGACTCTCTCCGCTCCGCCTTGCTCTCTCGCTCTCTATCCTTCTATTTCCGTCTGTCCCCGCTCGCTACCCTACCTCTGTCTCTTTGGCTGCGCAGGACCCGCCACGACCCGGCCAAACCCAGACACCCAGCGTGTAGGTACCGTGGGCTCGCTCGCTCGCTCGCATTCGAGGTAGCTCCAGCCACCCCAGCTGCTCCATCCCCACCACGCGACGAGCCACCCTACTGGCGGCAGGGATGTAGCGGCGTCGCCTGGCGCCACCGGAACCGCTCCTGGAAATTGAGATATTCTTAGGGACGTCGCGTCACGGGGGCATGCCGAATGATTCGCGCGCCGGGGATCGCGCCGCGGGATTCTTGGGATTTCCGGGCGAAAGGGGCCGCCGGCGTGCCGTGGTCAACGGCTGGACGGGTGTCGAGGTGTCATCCGTCGGTTGGAATGTTTATGAACGCAGGCCATCATACGGGTGACTACTGCTCGCTGGACTTACATCGTCGGCTGGATCTGTGCAACCGCTTTGCAGATTTAATGTAACGCCGGCGGTCGATGAACTGCTCTTGATAACGTCTTAACTCTCGGTCAGCTGGAGATTCCTTGTATCACCGTCGTCCCGAGTAACGAAGACGCCTAGGGGAGAATAGACTTCGAATAGAATTCAATTCCAAGGAAGAAGTAATAAGCAAACGTTAGACCAATACTCACGGTATCCCTGTTCCTCCTGCAAACTGCGATCGACGAACACTAGCCCGCTGAGCTGCAAAAGAAATGTTTCGACTGTAAATCGCTGCGAACCGAGAAACTGAAGAACGGAGAATTCCCGAATGTTGGGAACGTTTCGTTCGATTGAAAGGGGTGAATGCGTCCCGATCGGCGCGAGGCGATTGCCAGCTGCGGAACTGCAACTGCAACCGTTCATCGATGGGATATTAGTAAAATTTTATTTCGAGCACGCGGGGGTCGGCTATTACCCTCTACGGGCGAAGAAAAACGCGACACCCGCCGCCCCTCCGGGCCGAGTAGGAGGAAAGCGACCGAAGACACTGCTCGTCCTACTTTCTTGCCTCTTATCCGGTTGCTTTTTGTTTCTCGCTTCGCAAATGGCCCTCCCCCGCGCCGCGCCGCGCCGGCCGAATGGCCTGCAATCAAACACAGCGTACAGACAGGGGAAGAGCGACGGGGGCGAGCGTTCCCGGCGGCGGAAAAATTTTCGGTGGAACAGCTTAAAGGGAATAATTATAAGAGCGCCATCGATATCAGTCGCGGGAGTATTACCCGCCGCGCATAAATTTCCGCCGGCAGGACCGTCGGGCTTTTCTTCCGCGTTTCGTCCTGCCTCCCGCCCCTTCGCCGCCGCCGCCGCCGCCGCCGCCGCCGTCGTCGTCCCGACCGGAAAGGTCCCCGGGCCGAACTCCTCGCTAATCAATTAAGAAGAATAATCGTCCACGTTTAGTTGAGAGGATAACAATTACCGATATCAAAACGACGTTGATAAAGCTTCGTTAAAACGATTCGAACCCTCCCGACGGGGGCGGAGGAGGGAGAATTATCGATTCGCGGGGCCGCGGCGCGGTGATGCGACGGCTCGCCTCTTGAATTAGTTAGACAACAACAAGCCGCAAAGCTGGGCCTGCCGATGGATGCTAAGTAATTGGCGCACTTCAACGAAAACGTCGCTTATGCAGATCGTCGACGACGACGACGGCGACGAGCGGGGCGGGACGAGGACGGAGACGCCGCGCGGCACAGGGAAGAAACGAGAGTTCGATTCGCGCAGTTCCGGCGTACGGATCCGTAAGGATTCCGTGCTCCTCGGCGAACCGCGGAACAGCAAAACAACCTGACGCAGGGGGAGAATCGATGAAGCCGGGGAACGCCGGGGAAACGGTCGAACGTCGAACGTTCGCGCGGCATCCGATTATGAGACCGGGCCCCGAAACTTTGATTAGAAACGGACCGACGATCGCTGCTTCCGATGGAGCCGAAAGATTTCACCGTGCGCCTGGGCGAGGCGAGGCGAAGCGTGCAACTCCCTGGCCGGAACCGTAACCGCGAATCCGAAGCCGTGCATCATCCCATTCGCGAGATTGTTCCGCTCGAAGAGCACATAATGATACTAAATTTCAGGACGCGCGGGAAATGGGTCCGTACTTTCGGCGGTCTTCGGCGAAATTCGTGCGGCGAACGTGTTCCGGCTACGGCGAGTGCGTTCCCAGCCTGAAACGGGGCAAGTTTTCGAGAAAAAGTCTTCCATTGTTGTTCGTAGGGTTGTCAAATGATTCGAGGGAGATACGAGGGAGCGAGTATCGCTCGCGCGTCGAGCTTGTACCGCGGGAGACGAGCCATTCTTCGAATCCGATGCGAATCGGGCGACTATCTCGACGAAGTTTCCCTTGTTTACCCTCGAATCACCCGACGCGCGGGTAACCAGTAACGCAATTAGCGGTGAGGAATACTTACACCGATGTTATAAGCAGGTTACTGTTTACTCTGCGTCGGAATCCTCTAAATCGCCAACGCTGCACCGTACACGAACCTATTCCCTAGTGGTAGCCACCCCTGTAAACAGGAATCAGGTTTCTTTAATCAAGAGACAATGAGCCGGTTTGAGAATAAGGATGATGTTCTCCTTAATTGATACAATTATATAATTATATATCAATAATAATTTACTTCTCTCTTCTCTTCTCTCTCTCTCGGGATTTATTAAATCCAAGCACAGTTCACAGCTAACAAATGTAACTGAGCTTATTCGCGAAGATAGAAACACAGCAACTGCATCTACCAGCAAAAATAAAAATATTCAAGTATTTTTCATATATACAAACGTATGTTTCAACACTAGAACTACCAGAGTCAAAATGACCCATCTGTTACAATTATTGAAAAAGTACAGATGCTTCTGTGAGAAATCATTAAAGTTGATTTAGTAACACTCTTACTGAGACATAATCCAATTGAAATCTTAATAAATACAGTTAGAAGTTCTATAAACAAATATAGAAAAGTCAGTGCAAGTGCTTGGTAGTCCCAAGTGATAAAATAAACTACACATTAAAACAAATACCGTGAAACTGAAATCCCACACAATTCCAGCTCTCGGCGCGCTAGAATCTAGCCGAGCACGTCCTCGTCCCTTATTGCAACATCCTAAAAATCATTTCTGCTGTCGTTACGATCGAAGCCAGTCTTCAACCCGCAACATTCATTTCTGTCGAGTGGCGAGCACGGTTCCGTGCCGGAGGACTGTAGCTGACCCGGGCCCGCGGGAGGAGCTTCCGTTTATGGTCCCGGTGTGTTTATTGCCCCGGTATTTCGTTACCGCGGAGCAGACATCGGATGTAATCCTCGTACTAAACGGGTCCAATTGGCGAGGAGGCCGGCGTTAAATTCGAGACCGGCTGTGACCGGCAGTTCCCGGTGATTGAAAGTGGTCCCAGGTTCTTGAGCGGCGCCTTACGGCACTAACGACAACGCCAGCCGTCCCCCACCCCGCTTCGCGGAGCGCCGCCGATTCCGCCCCTCCGACCGTGGCCCTCTTTCGCCCCTCTCGCCGGGTCAAGCTCCGCGATCAGCATCGAGCTGCACCGACGTATATCTATTCCAGCGTGCCGTGCTCGATGAGTCTGCTCGAAATTACTCGGCGAAGACGCTGCGAGGGCCGATGATCCAACGACGACCTCCGCCGAGGGCGGACGCGTTACTCGAACGACCGTCACCGTCGAGACGTGTTTCTTCCGAGGCGAGGACTGGGGGAGAAAAATTCGTTAGAGAACTGGGGAAACTGGAAATCTGAATGTCTTCGGAATGGGGCAGTTCGCAATGCGGAGTTGGAGAATTTGAAAGTTCGAGGGGTCTAACGCTTTGCTGTAAATATTTGTCTTGCGTTAGACTCGGAGGAAGAGTGGACACTCGAGAGGTGACTCTCGGTCGCTTGTTTTCGTGTAGACTCGTAAAGAGGAATACGTAATATTGAGCTGGATAATGTCGGTACATGGAGTATTCTAATAAATTTGTTCTTTAACCCTTTGCGGACGAATGTCGATGTTATGCGAGATGAAAGTTTCAGGTTTGGAAGACTAGACGAATGATTTGATTCGGACAGCGAGAGATCGGTAGTTCTCTTCTTTTATATTAAGCGATTGGTGTATAATTTAACTGTCTCTAAAGGTTTACATTTTATGGAATCTCCGTTCGCAAAGGGTTAATTTACGCGTTCTCATTAGTTCCAAAGAAAAATGGAAGACTAGATTAGGATGCACTTAATCCTACCAGATCCGAGACTGATCACAGTCGACGCCTAAAAGGAACTATAACTACTCTAATCTAGAGTTAATTTACGTATGTTTTCTCATTAGTTTCAAATAATGTCCACGCCTCATAGGAAAGTGTCGAATACTTCTAACGAAAAGCTTCCGAGTGCAAAGGGTTAAAGACTCCCCCGTCGCGAGGGAGTCATTCCGAAAAGCGACGCGAATAAAAATAAATTCGCGGGACACGTGACTCGCGGGCGAAGGGAGAGCGCGGCCCGGCGGGGCGTCCGATCGATCGAACACCGAAGAGACTAGTTGATATACAAACTAGAAGACAGCGAACTTGCCGGGGCGATAATTATCTCGGGACTCGGGGCGCGGAGCAGTTCGCGGCAAGTTATCTAAGCAAGCGGCAACTTCCGAGATCTCTTTTCTCCGGGGACGGAACCGTAATCGATAACAGGTTTCGCGGCCCGGGACAAAAAGTCCCGATCCGCTCTCCGCGCTCCGCGGGCAAAAATACTTGAACGCCGCTTAATATTAAAGCCCGGTGGTGCCCCGGCTGCTGGGAATTTTCGGCGGCGGCGCTCCACGGCCGGGCATCGATCACGCGTTCCCTTCCATTTTTTTCTTTCCTTCCTCGCTGGCCGGCGCGCATCAATTCCTAAGCATCGCGCCGTGGTCCTCGGCAGCAACGCCGGAAGCGGACGCATCGATCCGGATCGGAGGGACGTCCACTCGATTAACACTTTACCGACCGATAGCCCATTAATCGGCTTTTTACAACTGACGCTCAGTCTGAGAATCTTGAGCGACTGGGCCGTGAGAAAAGCGTGTACGCGACTGCGTGAATTTTAATTACGGACGAAAGATGCGAGTGAGAATGCAAGGGTAAGAAAGACAGCGAATGGGGGTGCGCGTTTAAACCGAAACAGAGCCGGCGCCAGGGTGAATCTGTGGCTGAGCGGCCGGTTGGTAAAGTGTTAACGTAACTTCGACGATCCACGGACACTGCGTTCGAAAGTAGGATGGAAATTAGACTGGTATTCCTTTCGCTGCGTGTTTACGTTTGACGCGTGTGCTTTGAAGTCCCTCGACGCTCGGAGGACTGTCTGTCTGTCTTCTGATTACACTCGTTCTCCGAATCATCGTGCTCCGTGTCACCGCACTTGCCCTTCAGCTCGGAAACGTGGAAAGACATCGCCTGTACAGAACGTTGGTGTTACATTAGTACCAGTCTCTATACGAGTTACAGTGCTGCGACGCTATTAACACTAGGTTTACAGGCATTTATTGTACAGTTTATTCTATTTCTCCTGGGTAAGTTGATATTCGTTCATTTAGATTTTGGAAATTGTAGATGTAGGAACCAATCAATTGGATCAACGAAAACCGATTGAAACATTTACCAGATAATGTTTATAAAATTCGATCTGCGTGAAATTGACGCGTTCCGTAAACCTAGTGTTAACACGAAACCGATACCGCGGGAAGACTGATCCGCTCGGCGACGACAGCGAACGAGGCACGCGTGAAAAGAATCCTCCCGGCGGTGGGCCGTCCGGGAGACTTCTTACCGGCGACGCACGGCGCTTCCTCCGGTAGTATTACCCTTCTTTCCATTCGGTTTCCCGCGGCGCGGCCGGAAACGAGATAATTCTCGAACCGCGTTCCCGTTCTAAGAATAACGGCTCGCGGCCCTTTGTTCGCCGCGCGGCGCGCGTTCCTCGTGCTATTTTCGAGCCGGCCCTGAATTTTAATGAGCATTACAATCACGCGCCGCCGTCGCGAGGAGAGTCCGAGGGAGAAGGAACTCCGGGGAGTCCCCCGCGCGCGACGAGAAAAATCCACCCTCGGCCCCCGCGGAGAACGCGCCGCGTCATGCACTTGTTACGCGAGTGGCCGGCCCTGTTGCAAATAATTGTGGACGCGAGCTGGTTCCCGGATCGGCCGCAACGCCGGCCGGCCGCTATTGACCCGAGAGGTCTAGGTTCTGTCCCAATACACCCGGAAGAACCCCGATGATCCCCGGGGTCTCTTGATGGAACTTCGCTGGGATTCCACGGTCCGCGGCGTCTCCCTGCGGAGCCTCGAAGGTTCCGCCTATCCCCGGAGTCCTTAATGGAGATCGACGATATTCGAAGTCTATCGGAGGTTCCACGAGGGCCCTCGGTGATAAACTGGATCCCCGCTCGCTCGCACGCACAAAATTCCTCGTGCTTCTTGAACGTAATTACGCCCTCGCCTTGTAGTCTGTCGAGACTCGACGGAGACTCCTAACTCGCTTCTTAGCTCGTTGCGGTTGAATTTCGTAGGTGCGTTCGGTTCAACTGTTTATCGTTAACGCGTTGAATGCCATGGGGGTCACCGGTGACCCCCAACCGAATTGAATTACCGTAGTTCATTCAATTAAACGATGGTTATTTGAAGATATTTCTATATTATAGACAATGATGCGGTGATATTCAGCTGGATGAACATGTAATAATAACGCAATTCAATTAAATGATTCAATAGTATGTTCTTTCCATTTCGTGTATTTTGCTCTGTAAAATCGTGCGGCATTCGACGTGTTAATAATGCATTAGTAAAAGAGAACGTTCCATTTCTAGATTCAGTATAAACAAAAAGGTTTCCTTTAAACTGAACGCAGTGGCGTTTATGTTTGTTGAACCGTATTAGAAAACTTCGCCTCGTCTGATATAGATATTGTAAGGCGAGTTGACACGTCGAACGCAGGATTTCATAGAGCAAAAGGTACACAATGGAAGAAATACAATATTAAATCATTCTATTGAATTGCATTATTGCACGCTGACCTCGCTCAGTGTCACCGCATTTGCTAGCATTGTTTATAATATAGAAATGTATAATCGTCTTTCAATTGAATCAACTACAGTAATCCGATTTGGTCGGGTCACCGGTGACCCACGCATTCAACGTGTTAAGCAACTTTACTGTTATCTGTTACGACTCAAGGTAAAAGATACTTATCTCAACGCTAGAACTACTAAACGGCTCAAACCACCCATTCCCAATTTCTTCTATTACAATCGTCGACTCAACGGAGGTCATTCTTCTCTAAGACATTCCTACATAGTACCGAGTCGCCAAGATTACACGCCGAGGAATCGAATTATAATCCCATCTTCTCGCTAAAAATCCTTCGAGTCTCGGCTGCGGTCCGCGTCGAGGGCAACCCTGGAAAAAGCGAAACGTTAGTTTAAATACCACTGAAAGAATCTCGACAATCAACTACCATCGAGTGTCCATTCACGGGCGCTTCAACAACTCCGGAGTGCACAGTTGTTCCAAGAATCCGAAACTCCGCGCTCGCGGGGTATGAGTTTCTAGACACTCGAAGAAAGTACTTGCACAATATACGGAGCGGGCGGCAGCGGAGGCGGCGGAGGCGGCGGAGGCGGCGGCGGGTCCGATGGAAAAGGGACGGTTCGATCGTGAAGATAAATCCTCGCGATTCTTCTCGCGGTGGCAGCATTTCAATCCCTCCGAGCATCGAGAAGCGAGACACGGCTAATCGAGCGTGGACTGATCACCGTCCCGGCGCACGGAGCTGACCGGCGGGCGGCGGCGGCGGGGGCGGAGGGTCGCGCACGATATTCAAG